ATATATATAGGGTCTAGTGCATTTCAGCACAACTGATAAAAGCGAATATTTCCGAGAAGTACAATTAAACAAAAGTAGAGATTTCTAATGATTGATGACTAATGATCAGGCCTCCGCCTGCACCAAGCACTTATACTTGGGGGACCTACATTTTTTAGATATTTTACAGTCCTAAATTTTATACCAGACATCGATTCGTCAGTTTTTTTTTTCAGTGACCTAATCGGATGTTATACTAATGAGTCAGTGTACACGCGGCGGACTTCCTATTGCCCCTACCCATAGACCGAGCAGCAACGGTATTCTTATAGTTTATAGATGATGAAGAAACCCACATAACCCCCTCAATTGACAACACAGACGACCAGAATTATGAATGCTGCTATTTCAAGTATAAGCATCGCTATTTACTTAGGCCAGCAGCCTTACAGCAAGGAATATTTTTCCCGGATTTCGAACAGGGTCAATTAATCACTGCTAATAACATATAAAACTCATTGAAATGCACATAACATGAGATGGAAACTAACATAACAATCAAGTAAATAATATATAAACAGAACCCGGCTATCGTTTGTGCCCATAGTGAAAATCGAAGTGCTCCCTTTACTATTGAAATCACAATGGAATGAGGTATTTCATTATGCCCAAGTACGCAGTATAGATGAGAAACGGTAGTTGATCGGCCATTATTTAGATAATTTATAATGCCATCTTTGAAATTCAGGGAAATTCGAACGTTTCGACATAATTTTTATCTGTGTGTTTATTAGGAACACATTAGCCTAAAAATGAGCTTCTGACCAGAATAAATAGATGCAATCCCGTATGGGCTACATGTTCAGTAATAGTGAAACACTTAAACGAGGTATGTCTTATATACACGATTATAACCCGGCTGGCCACAAAGTAAAATGCGCTGATAGGAAATCACACACTACGGCCCATATCATGCTTCGTCCATATGCGATTTTAAAAAGTAGATGATACCGAGTGATTATTAATAATATACGCAAAACTTTGCCTAAAATTTACGATGAGACGTTTTGTAGCCACGACTAGTAACTTATAACAATTTACTTTAAAATATAGGCCTATTTTGTTACCTTTTGTTTGTAACTAGTCAAAGCTATTTAAATAACATTTTAGGTACAACTAAAATATAGAAAGCGAGATAAACATGCAGTGAACGTCTCAATGGTGTCCGTTGGGGAACTTTCGCTAATTTAAGACAATTGCATTTGCATGCTGATTATTGATATTTTGACCATTTTGTAGGATGCTTGCCCATCTTTGGAAGGCTCTCTCCTTTGTGCTCCGGAAATCTTAGAATTGCCATGTAGCAATGAGCAGCGTTGTCAACTGAGTAGCCGAGTTGCACAAAGAGTTTTAAGTCCACCCAGTTGACGTTGCTAGAATTTTTCGGAGCGCTAGAATGGCCTTATTTTTCAATGTAGTATTCGCACCGGTAGTGACACCGTTCAAACACACTTAATCCACGATCATTTTTAAATTGATCATACGAATTATTTAGGTGAAGTTATATTACGGATGTACTCGTTCTCGAAGTTCCGCTTTGGCAAAAATCACAAGAAGCTATTATCTAATTGTATAATACGCTGAGCGTAGTATGATTCTGAGACAGCCTTGATGTTTTTATGGCCATTTCGTTGAAATAAAAGCGAATGTTTTATTTGTTAACTAATCGCTCAATAAAGTTCACTTTTATTAAGTCAAAAATATATGGACTATATAATTCTTGCAAAATAATGGTGTTGGGACTCCGCTTCACTGGAGACTTAAGAAAAGATGTTATTGATTTCGTCTGTGCAAGTAATTTTTACTGAGCAAATTGTTCGATTTTTGTTCACAAGTAATAAAAAAAAAATAGTTACAATATTATTTCGTAATTTCACATCATAATGCATAATTCCTGTATACAGGACTTAGGCCTCGGCTTATCCTTCAACTATACATCTCAAAAAAAACTAATGAAATAAAACCGTACTTTTTGAAATATGTTCCCCAGACAGTATCTATTCCTTTCAATAATTAAGCTTTGATAAAAATTTACATGACTTTTTAATTGTAAAGCATATAAAAGCGTATTAGAAACTAGTATTACTGATTAAACCGTTTGTGCTATGTGGCTATGCAAATCCGATTTCAAGGAATACTAACCTTAAGGTATTTGTGATAATCTGCCAGGTATAATTCTATTAGTCGAAATGTATTTGTGTCGATTTTAAAAACAAAGTACAACATTTATTTAAATTACTTTGAACGATAAAGGTAGCTTTGAAATAAAACATTTATTAGTGATAAACTATTTTCATCCGTTTACCCGTCACTGAGCCTAGCTTTTTAGATCTTTATTATACCTTCGACCTGAGGTGCTTTATAACTTCCTACTCTCAAGTCCTTTGAACTTCACTCTAACGGAAACCGTAAGACAGGCGCTCTCAGCCCCGTAGCCATACAACTTCCATATACGTCTCCCTTGATAGCATTCTTTCTCTCATTTATGAGCGCTAGTTTTTTAGCGATACGATCTCCGACCAGGCTCGTCTTCGCCATGTAATTTTTGTGAGAAAAATTTGCAAGAAAACGTTTTGCGTTGACGACTAAATGAAAATTCACTGAGACCAAATGAGAAGCTGGCCTATTTTTAAACCTGATTTGAACTAAGTTCCCGTAAAGAATATGTTTAATAAGCTAAAAAATAAGTAAAATAGTTTATTATTATGTAATTAATATTTTCATAAAACTGTAAAGATGCTAAATACTTAGGTACCTGAATAATCCATGGCCCAACGTTTTCGCGTCGTGTTTAGAAGAAAGCAAGTAATTTACAACCATCTTCATAGGATGGTTGTAAATTACTTCCTTCTTACTATATCTATATTCGACTGTAGTGAGTAACACTACAGTAGAATCCGATATAGCTGAGCTTTTGCAGGTTGTATGCGGCAGGCCTTCACTTTAAGGGACATTAAGAGGTTAAGGCATCTATGTAGATAGAATCAAAAGTAGGTATCCAGGCGTTTGGCCCTATATTCTGTTCATATCCGTATTCGAAATTCGACCAAAGATGGATTACCAGGTAAATTCATTAACTACTAAGCTATCACGGCTTTGTGCCGTACCTATCTAGATGCGTGCAGACACAAACTAAACTCGGAGTAAATCTCAAAGGCAGGGGGTACATTAGTCGATCACGATCTCGAACGACCAAGTGCAACTGTTAAAAGAGAGACCAAGCGTGGGTGCCAACGTGCTTTCTCTAACCACTCGTATGCACTGAATGAAGCACCTTGTAAAAGAACAGAAAACTAGCAGATTGACAAACAACGATGTTCCTCTCTCATAATCTTATAAATTAAGTAGGGCATATTAAAAACTAACTAGAGCTGGCTGGAAGAGTTTGTGTACATCCAGAGATCGTAAATTAGCCAAAACAAGGGCAATCTATAATGAGACAAAGCTGTTACTAATCTTTTTTTTTAGACAAGGATAGCTAATGAGGAATTGGTAAGATACTTCCGTATTTATATTTTGCTTACATTGCTACGATATTTGTTATGCCATCATGCTCTGCTAATCCAAGTGTTAGTTTGGCAAGTTTATGGTATTTAAGGTCAAAATTATAACTTCCAATGAAACGATTTAATCCAGTCGGACGCTTTCTCGTACAATGCACAACACCCTTTATTAAGTACGTACGACGTTGAGCAAATTACGTAAATGGTATAATACTGATTAGTCTGACGCGTACATAATTACCTGTTAATTATATGACCTTGTTTTTCAATTATTATACACATTATACAGCTATAAAAACCTAGGATTAATTGTTTCTCTACGATGTCCTCTCAGCACGAGGTACACGTAGGTAATATGTCTATGTGGTTCCTATGTGCAGTTATCTGTAATAAGCTAGGTAAGTATAGAACCTTTCGTTACAACTGTTTGCTTTATTTTCTATTACAACGGAGCGCTGTCGTGGATCTGACGAAGATAGCTCGTACAATAAATTTCACGGAAAAATAAGTTTTAAGGACAAGACTTTTATGGATATTATTTGTTAATTTTTGTTTAGTATCAATTATGAACATGCCACAGTAGGCAGACGAAAAATATGGTCATTTCGTTACCAATTGATTCTATTTAGTATAGGATAAAAAATATTACTTGACAAATATCTAAATTATCTGTATTCATAGAACCGACATATGCTCGCAGGTATGGGCGAAATCAAGCACTCGTTTAGCAAATTTCTTTCATATACCACATTCTTATAGATTTTTCCTGTAGCAATAATTAGCAAAATGCATTTTTGAAAAAGTATCTTAGAGAAATACCATGGTTAGTAGCATAAAACTTAAAGAACCTTTGCTAGATTCCTTCGTTATGAATTGCTGCGATTGTTTTTAGGGAGAAAAAAATTGAGATTAAAGCGGCTCAAAGATGTATCTCAGAGGATCAGGATGTCAGCAACTGTTATATTTTTATTTAAAACTTACATAAACTAGCGAATTTTGAACAAGCCATTTTACTTTGTTAGAACTAGAAAAAAAGTGTACGTGAGGCGAGACTATATGAATTTTGCTAAAAAGGTCTAATACGCAGCTGGAACTCGATTTCTCGGAACCGGAATAAACCCGGGTGGTTCATATTGCGGTTATACTTAATTGGGCTGTGAAAATGATTTTACTTCTAGATAGTAACCACTGTAGTGCTCGATACGGTCTTGTCCTTTTAGCAACAGGAAGGTGAAGCTCGAAGTACTGTGGGACCAGATACAATATTCGACAAGTGGCGACAAGGCTTCGTCATTCCATGGCATACGAACCGACGCAGCAGAGTGGCGCAGTGGAAGCGTGCTGGGCCCATAACCCAGAGGTCCGTGGATCGAAACCACGCTCTGCTAACAAATTCTTTTTGGTTATAATTTTATGCTGTTTAATGTTAAATTTCATGTTAAAATTACAACTTGCAATGAAACGATTTAATCGTACAATTCACAATACTTTTTATTAGACACGTACACCATTAAGCGAGTTATCTAAGCCTTTTACTATCTTAAATGCGCTGATATGGAAGGAAATTTTATTTTAAAAAATTCAGATTACCCCATAGTTATGAGCTAGAAAAATGGCAGCTGGACACAACAAGATAAGACATGACAAATATCTATGACATTTTTGTTATACTTAAAAGTGATCGAATTATGTAGATCACAACTAATAATACACATTAACGCTATTTGCGTACGATGGTAAGTAAGCTCTTGATTGGATTGGATAACCAAACAAAGCTATTTCGAAAACAACTATGTGGGTGAATTTTTCAGATCTAATATCCGTAATACGAGAAACTATTTAAAATAAGCCCCACAAATGTACCTCTTTTTCGTAACTTCTATTTTTTTGTTATGTATTATTTCTGTACTGTATTCTTTATACGTAGATAAAGAAATCGCTTTAAGTGCAATTAACTGAAGAAACGTTTGTTTGACTATTTAATCAAACACTAACTTTCAAACTCCAGTGCCTATTAACATGTCTTAAATGAAGTGCAAATAGCATGTTATATCATTTGATTAATTAATTAGTTAGTTAGGTAACTGTTGGATTTTCTATTTTGTTGCTGGGCGTCAGTTGCAGGTACCATGACCACTACAACCGCATACTGTTGTCACATCAACTCGATAAAATGGACGTCTGGTGGCAACGCGCTAAAGGCAGCCCAGTGAGAGCTGCGTAATAATAAATAGTAATACTTGACGCTCTCCACAGTTGTGGTATCATTCGATAGCGCCAAGTTGGCGGGAAGTGGCACGAACAGCGCCATTATGTTTTAGTCAGGTTTTTTTTAGGCTGGATGTATTTAGTTATCATTGATTTTCTTTACCATTCACTGACGTTTACAAAAATTGTTTGCCATTGGAATAAGTTGAGTTTTTTTTTGTTTATGTTAGCTTTTCTTTGAGTGTATTCATACAAGTCACTGAATTTATTCACTCGGCACTGCAACAAACAGGAGTGTCTCATTGACACTCATTTTTTGTTTTTCGTCGATTACGCTCATGTTCACCTTGTAACTCAGACTTCATGGGTTATTGCTCAATAGATAAACGAGCGCACCTCAGCAAGATCTATTGAAACATGGTTATGAGGTACGTTCGTCCAGTTGTGCTTCGTTCCTTCAAGATCTGAGTAATTTTAAAGAGCAAGCTGCAAAGAGAAACCATCTACTATGGTGAAATATCAAAATGCTGTGCATTACAGAGCACAGCTCGCAGAAAAGGAAATTGAGCTGAGGTACACTATAAAGACATAGTACACTTGATATTATGTAAAGATTATCTCTGGGCGTAATGAAGGGATTTGGCTTTTAAAGATGTATGCGTAAATCAAATATAACATATGATAGGTATTTCGTTTTGATCTTTCTGATTACGGAACCTTAATGATATACATAAGTTCACCGTTGTAAGTATGGGCTATTTATACTTTGTTCATAATATCCAAAGTTGTGTTCCTTCTAGGTAATACATGTTGACAGATAATAACACTTTTCCCTCGTCTATAGTAGATGCTATTTACATATTTTAGTAAGACACCCATTTTAGTTATCCAGAGAACGAAAGTTCAGGAGGTAAAGTTAATCTCAGTGCCGTTTAAATAACTGGCCTTTCCGGCCCCGACAGCTAAAGCTTCAATTCCGTATTGCAGCCGGCGCCTGGGACCAGATAAGATTTGATTTCGGGATTGTTCAAATGAAGCGGCCATATTTTGGACTGTCTTTGACTTAGAAATGTGCTGCATGCCGATATAATGATATCTATGGTTAAAGGAGCTATTAGGATGGTGGTGCGCTGTCCTGATCTGATTCCTGCGTCGGCAGTTCCCTCGAGGATTGAACGTTCTAAGACGCCTGCATAATTAAACACCCTTTAATTCAAATATATACCACACGATGCTTTAAAAGCTCTTTCAGGTAACGTTCTGCATATGAAGGCGAATTGAAACAAACCACTGTCCTATTGCTGTTAAGATCATTTAATGCGTTCTGAAACAATTCCAGAATAATAAGGTACAAAGTGCAGCTCGTTTTTCGATCACTGAAATAATGAATCATAATATTCTACGTGGAGTCCATTTGCTAGGGAAAAATGTTCGGGCGTGCACAGCAGAGTCCATAGAAGTTTTGAGAGAAGTCCCACTTAAGCGACACGGCCGTGTCTATTGGGACCATGCCCACCGAAAGCCTCGTCCCAAATCCTTAGTTGGGTTAATGTTGTGGAACGGAGATCTATCCTTCAAACTAGTCGATTCGCGGCTATTGAATCTGTGGTAGTGGAGCTACCACTGTGAATAAGATAACCATTTTTTGACTAGAAACGACGAAGAGTATACAGAAACATTCAACTGCTCTTAGAAACCTTCGGTCTTTACAAAAAATGTACTTCAACGAAAAAGTTTAAAAAAGAAGCAATAAATGTAATTCACGTTCAATGCCTTTGCACATTTGCCTTTAGCTACAAGCTTGACGATAAACTGTGGGACTGAATAGTAATAGTCATAATAAATTTTAGGTTATTATTCAGTATTCCATTGCGATGTATATTATTGGCTTTAGGTAGCATGTCAGGAAAATTTATCGCATGTTGAATGACGAAATCTCACAGGAGTCGCAAAACTATTGGGAATCCGAGTCCACCTCTCAGTCACTTCGGGAATGGATGAATTCATTTTCGCCTAATGAATCTGCTTATATAATACACTGTCCGATTACGATTGCTTTATTATAGTGGCGGCATTTTCCGCAAGGCATAACATCAGTGCCTATTGAGACTAGCTGAAGCTAAGTTTGTTCGCTAATGCGAAACACGAAGATCAGTGCAAGAATTTTTTAACAATGATAGAACAACAAATAGCCGTGCTCTACACTCTGTGATGAAGGCGTTGAAGGACATTCTCGACTAAGCAAGAAATGTCTCTCGGGCTAACTGTTAACTAGACAACTGTATTGGGAAGCCACATCAAGAGAAAACCGAAGAATTTCAGGTATATCATAAAAAGGGATATATGACCTGTAGAAAATCAAGAATTTGATGATAGACGCCAAACAGGTTAGACGAACGGTTCTCTCTGTAACATCTTTTGCTCACTGCATATCGTTGATAACGTCGGTTTTAAGGTTAATAATCGATTTTGCGAAATGCGTATTATATTTAAGCAATTGGCGCTAGTAATCACTCGGCAGCGTTGTGTGTGTCACCGTCATCTTTCTGAGCAGAGCATTTAGGATCGTCATCTCTTCGGTCAGCCGGCTCGGATAGATACAAGCATATTTTCGTATGTAGCAAGGTTCATAGAAAAACACGATAAAAAAATAGGTACCAACACTAAAATGATGACATATATTTTGAACCGATGAAGAGTTGGCGGGCATTATTAGTGCATTGCAGACCAATACGCGTCTTATTCCTGGATCCATAGTAACTTTGGAAACCGAGATCAACGGCATGGTAGGGGTATTCTATAAGATGCGAGTACAAGCTTTTCCGAGATAACAGAATGAGAAACGGAAATTGTATTAAAATATGCATGAAATATTTTCGTGATGAAAACGTTTTATGATTATCCGGAGCAGTCGTATGTATCTACAGTCATTGCGCAATTCGGTTGGACGGTCTCAACGTGCAGTCATATAGAAAAATTAACATTATATAAACTTATGGCTATTAGCTATAAATAATTCTAGGGTTGAGTCTTACGTTTAGGTATTTCTTATACGTATATTTTTGTAAATACTTATAAAGGTTCATTAAAAAATAATATATATATA